AAAAAAAAATATGGCCAAATATATATTTATTTACAGAATGTACCAAAGCACGAAACCTGGATATAAAATCTAGAGGATTTTATATCCACAATATTTATAGAGCCGAAGACACGACATCGTATTGAACCCTTTTCGACCATTGTTCTGGGCTCTACAGAATAACAAAAAGGCCACTTCATCAAACGAATCTTATCATAGAGCTTATGCACACTGACCTACTTTAGCATATGATTTTGTTGAAAGCAAACAAGTGCAATCTGTGGCTGGGGCAGTTTTTATGAATTCTAAAACTCTTCCTTCGGTGCAAGCGAACGCTTCTAAGCACGTGAACGAGGAAAATACGCAGGCCCAAGCAAGTAAACACCAGAGGGGTCGCTGGCTCATGACAAAGCTAATCACGTGGTACATGTGAAGCTGCTGAAGGTACGCGGCAACTCTGCCAATTTGTCACCAAAGTCAAACGAATAATGAGACACAAATTTGGATTCAACGCAATGACAAAATGGTAAGCAAACGGACGGTAAATAACTGTGAAATTTGGTTCTGGAGCCATTATGCTTTCAGCGTCTCACGGTGGGCTCGGCACCACTTGGCGTGTCATGTATTACCACGGAGACAACACTGCCTCGCTCGTTTATTCATCTTTTTCTTCTTGAGTCTGTACTGCAAAGTCAGAAAATGGTGATGGCAAATCTCACGCTATACTACTAAAACGAATAGATAAAATGAAAGACGAGAAATATATGCATAAAGCTTGCCTTGATCCCGCGAATATGAAAGCAGATGATCTTGTCACGACTCCCGTACCGCAGTCGGAGTACATGCTACAACAGTGTCCGAGATGTGGCAAATCTCGTTATTATCTTTTCAGAGTTTGCTCACTGGCCCAAACAGCGGCTGAAGGCGCTGAAATAAGTTTTATATGCCCTACAATTCAGTGAACTTTGGTGGACGCGTCCCTCTGTGCAACAAATTACGACCAGGTAATTCTAGCACATGTGCCCAAACATGGCACATGCAATGTGTGATTGGTCAACTTCCATTGATCTTAATTCAAAACCAATACGCTTCCGATCAGGAATCCGTAAACGTCATACGCCACCAGACCGTGCAAGCCCGAATATTAGTACTTGAGACCGAACCCATTGCGGACCATGTGTTCACGATGTACGTAGTGAAGGCGTCCAAGTCAAAAGCAGATCTTCCGACCGAGTACATTGCGGACGAGGTGTTCACTACGTACGTGCCGGAGGTGGGCAGCGACGCAACGGTAAGGGAATAGCAATGCAGTGTATTGACTGATTTGACTTAACCTTCATTCAGCTTTGTCTAGCCGATACCAACCACTTAGTGTTAACATTGAGACGCTTTACCCGCAGCATGTGCGCTCTTACGGTAGCACATTCGTGCGCATGACAGAAATGTGTGGTTTTATCTCCAACATGCAATCGTCGTTGGCGATTGCCAGGCGCATACTAGCGTTGTGTTGTGATTCTACATTTCGCATCCTATCTGTCGTGGATACCTACCGC